AATCAAATTTAAATCTTGAAAAAGAGGCTTCATCATCTGCTTGAGGGAAGAATTTTTTTTCCTAAGGGTGTCATCTTAGTTAAAAGACATCATCTAATGCCTAGAATGTAAGGATACATAAAATTTTGATAGGATCAAATGTAAAAGAAAACATTGCTGTCTTAATTCAATTGGACTTTGCATTATAGGAAATGTGTTGTATATCCTGTAAATAGGATTCTATGAAAGAGGAAATTAGTTTATAGAAAGACATGTCAGAAATTCTTCTAGGAATCTATATAGTTTGTCAAAGATAGGATATGTGATAGTGTAGGAATAATGGTCAATTTGGTATCTAAATTTTGTTGGCAATTGTGGAGTTTTGGATACTCAGAAAGCTAAATCAAGGATTGACAGAATATTTATGATGAAAGATATGCAATTTCACATGTTGATTATTAATTATATGTAGTTATGGTAATATATTATAAATGAAAGTGTTTGGATAGAACTACAAGTATGTACTAGTTTAGATTACAATGTAGAGGTGCATCTCAGATGAAATATATTTTTGAAGGAAGTGAAAAAGGATTTCACTCTTAGACAAATATTTAGAAATTTTATTGGAAAAGTTCACAATACTACTAGGCAAAACTGTTTTGGTTTTGATTTATCCACACTCAGTAAGCATACCATAGATTAAAATACTCATTAAATTTAATACTAAATATTTTTTATTTTATCCTATTGTTTTCTAATTGCATAGGTATATTAATAATAATGGTGAATTATATGTTCAGCAATATGCACTACTTTATCAGTCAAATTTTAAATCAACACACATATCTTGTGAATATCATCTTGCTGAAGTTACATCTCAATCTGGCAATGTTTGTGTTCTGACAACTACAGGAAAAATTTTGTATAGAACTGGCATAACTGTATATAAAACTGAAGGATCTGGATGGAAAGAAATAAGGTAAAAAATGATTACAATTAAAAATAATATTTTAAATCTTATGCTTTATTGATAAACATAATTTTATTATTATGATATATTTTAATAGGTTAATGGAAAATATGATAGTTAAAACTTGTGCTCTTGGATGTAAGGATTTATTATGGATTATCGATAATCATTGTAAAGTTTGGTTTCACCCTAATATTTCAAAAGTTGTCACATCTGAAACAAATTGTAAATGGTGGCAAGTAAGTGTGTTTTATTAAATTACAGGTTGTCCTTGTTTTACACCAGTGATGCATTCCTGGAAGAGGCAACGTAAACAGAATTGACACAAAATGAATCCATTTTATTATGGAATAAATATGGATGATTCCAGGTATCCACAAATGTACTGTATTTTTTTTTCAATAGAAGCATGTTTAATTTTTGCAAAATTTTTACTAATATAAAATAATACAGAAACTATAACATTTATTTATAGTTGAAATTGACAATGCAATTTGTGAGCCCGTGGATTTTTACAGGGCTTTTAATGTTAATTGTTTTCAAAATGTAAATATCTTCGTTAGAAAAAAACAGAGAAGTAGAAATTAGATCAGAGGTCACTGGTTATAGTAACAAGTCAGTGGAAAAGTAGACAAGTGGCTGTCAAGATTGCACCGTCATCATCAACAAAGGTTGATCACGTGTTAGATTTCCCATGACAATCATATAAAAGGTGTGAGCCACCGGAAGTTTGAGAGTTCGCACATGGAAGTTATATTTGGTTTTAG